ACCCTCTAGTGGCCACCTTCAAGTTTGACCATAAAACATACTCGTACATGATAGGCACACAAGATCAAGGCAAAGTTGGGACACCAGAAACAATAATTTGGCCTTGACTTAGTAATCTGAAGCATCACCGAATCTGTGTTACCATGGGAACAAAATCTATGAAAATATTATGATTGTGTATATTTGTTTTTACCTCTGGTGATATCTTTGAATCTTCTGCTTCGGACGAGTCTGATCCGCTCTCTCTGTTGAAACTTGCTCTTCTAAAGGGTGCTTTGGGTTTTTCCAGAGCTTCTGGAGATGCTGGAACATCGTCTCCAACTAAAGTTTTAATGAAAGGAAAAGCAGACTTATTAATTTGAAGTACACTGAAAATATGATGTTTTAGGACAAATAATTGGTACAGACTTCTCAAATTTTTTTACTGTAAAATACTTTATTTTTGCTTGGAATTAATTTTCGCTGAAGGTATATTTCATTGAAAAATAAAATCCATCGAATATACACTTTTTCCCATCTTTTACATTTAACTTGTCAAAAATAAGTGAAAATAAATTCCATACAGAACACCCAAAAAGTTTTTTAAGCTAAAATTAATTCCGGCTAAAATAAAGTACTGGTATTTTACAGTATGGTTTTAAAATTATAACTTCAAAGAAATATTTGACACTGATGTTCTTTCTAATTTTTTGTTATAAATTATTAACTTTATCAGTGTATAAACACCAAATGTATGAATGTCGCTTTACCTTCAGCAAGTTTTTCTTGTAATATTTCTGTAGCACTTTTTTCCATGATGGGTTGTTTTTGAAGCAAAGAAGACGGAATATATCCAATCTGAAAAACAAAACAAGAACAAAGAATTAATAAGCAATAATAATAATAATGAAATTCTCATATATGCATAACATTATTACCCCTGGTCACAATGACAAACAATGATGATTGTAAATCCCAAGTTATATCACAAATGAACCATAATGCCTCTGTTATTTACTAAGAAAGCTTACCATTTTTAATTCTTTTTTATGTCTAACAAACCATCTATCCGGTACAGCTGAATCCAAGACTTCTACCATATCACCAGGTTTTAACTTTAATCTTCCACTTTCATCCATGTACTCACTGGTTACTTTGTATACACCAAACTGTTCCTGTGATTTTTAATAAACATCATAACTTGATAAGTGAATCTATTAAATGTATTAATGTATTGAATCAGGGATAATTTTCAATTTAAATCAATCTATATCATAATTATTAAATTAATCAAGTAATTCACATCATTGTTCCTATTGTTTAGGTGAGCAGGTCAGAAGAAACCAAGTACAAGTACACTCAATTTTATATCCTGATTTTGTGTGTCTTTATATAAATTACACACACTCAAAAGAAACAAATTTTAGTTCTATATTTCCAGATAATTCAGACTTACAAATCAAGTATTATTTTGTAGATTTACTGTACTATACATTTATAAACACAGAAATCAAACAGAGCCACATTCATAGAAATAAAGCTACAGATGCTGGGGGAGATGATATGAAAATAGGTTTGTGTTTGAGTACCATTATTATTGCATCAGCTGTTATATACACGTATGTAGCCATGGTTACAGTAGACCACGATCCATTACTGATATCTTTTTATCAAATATGCACATACATATTTGTCTGTGTGCCAGCATATAAAACCAGAAGACTTTGTTACACTCGGGCACATTCACGACTTTTGAGGCCACAAGAGAACACCTCCCTTACATATCTTCCCAAATTACCCTTACAGTATATATCCCCTATATTCAGATATTTACAATACTCACCTCTTGAATGATAGGTATTGACTTTAATTTTACTCTTTTGTCTTTATCATCATCACTGGTTCTGGCATCACTGGTTGTTGTGGAATGTTCGGAATCAGTTGCACTGCTGCTCATACCTGTAGCGGGAAAGAACCACAAATTGAGATTCCAGTGGAGGTATAGAAAGTGTTACAGAGTGTGTCACTGTCTTCAAACACATGACACTATTTCATGGCTATATGCCTTGAGATCTATACATGTTTCTCACACTCACCCAACAATCCTGTCACAGGTAATCACACAAATGACTAACATACATGTACATTGTGAAGTTGTAAAACATGAATTTCTTTACATACATTACACATAAAATACACTTAACAAACAGATTCATAGCACAATATTATTAACACTTATTTAAATGAATTTTCCCTACAAAAAAAAATAATAATAAAAAATATGAAATGTTCAGTCCAGTTAAAAACAACATCTTTTCTTGGTCTTTCATATTCATTTGTTTTTATTTTTTCTTTACTTTGCACAACTTGTGAGAAAATACAGTATGGAATTAATCAATGAATTTGTTGACCAAAGTTTGGTATACTGAAAAGCTCCATGTAGTGTTAAAAATTATCCCTATAAGCAGCTTTCATCAATTTCTGGTAAAATTGATTTGTTTTTTCCTTCATAACTACATGATGTGACGTGGCAACACATCAAGATGTGACTATGAATATTACAGCAGTGATTGTATTCCACAATTATTATGATGATAAATTGGCTATTTGTGGAGATTTCTTCCTTGAAAGGCCAAAATACAAAAAACAGGAAAGGCACACAAATGAACAAAGATTATCTTACAACCAAGTCAGCTTTAAGCTAAAACCTACCTTGATTTATGAATTCATAAAGGCTGGCATGTATGATGAAATGTAATGATCATTGTTAGTAATATAATACACAAAACACATGCTGGATGTAAAAAACCTGCTTTTTGCCATTTGTTTACATTGTACATGAATATACATAGATATGAATGTTATTATGCACAGAGACAAGGTACTGGTAAGTATATGTAAATATAACCAGCATCTAATCTTTTGCAGTGACTTTTTACAGTGATCTTTTAAGAGTGACTTATTACCCCAGTCAGTTAGTAGGATGGCGAGCAACGTTGCAAAACACTTTAGTTTTTGCTCAATCTAAGCTTGAAAGCGATGTTTCGCTGACACACCCACAATATAGATCAATTCTGTATTTTACTAGACAAGCATAAGACACAGTTTTACAAAATGATATACCATTATTTTGCCACATATTTCTTCAAATCTATAGCAACAAACAGCATGTTAGATTACAGTGAACCAGACTGAAACTTGCTTTTACACTACCAGTTCACTATGCATCACAGTTCACTGAAAACAACAGTTAGGTACTGGTCCCATGATTCAGATCAGTCCACATTTTTTACAACTGATTAAAATGAGTAAAGCACACACATTTTTTTGCAACCTCTAGTCACAGCACTCACTGTATTTTAAGTTGGTAATACTATTCAAAATATTTTGAATATGTACACTATGAATCATGTTGACCACCCCAATGAAATACATGTAGTGAATAATAAAATGGCAACCTTAATTCTACTGAAGCGAAAACTATAAAAGCGTTCTGCAAAGTTGCAAGCCATCTGCAAACTGACAATCCAAATAATTCTCAAAACTGCTGTAACGGTATAGTAACACTAACAGTTTTAAAAAATATATTGTTTTTAGTCAACACCAACTTTACTTCTGAATAGAACTAACCTTCAACACGCAGCACAGCTGAGCAAGATGCCTGACCATGTGAGTTAGTAGCTTTGCAGAAATACCTGCCTTCATCATCTGAATTAACATTGTTGACAATTAGAACAAAACGTCCTTCAGGTTTGTCTATTTCATAGTGTCCGTTGTGTTCCAGCTCATCTTGGTTCCTGAACCACTGTACCTGTGTATCTGGAGTACCACTAATCATACTCTCAAATCTTGCAGGGTTACCTTGACTTACTTCAATGGATTCAATAGTTTTGATGAATTTTGGAGCTTGATCTGGTAGTGCTAATGTTGGGATAGCTGGTGCCTGGGGTGATTCATCCGGTAATGCTGGTCCCAAAGTTGGTGATATTGGTACCACAGTTGGGACAGTTGATATTACTGTTGGTAGAGAGTGTTCTTGAATTCTGAAAATGTAACAGATCAAAGTTGTTTAATTTTTCAGCGGTTGGCCTAATGTTATCCCAACGGATCGTTTGGATGTGAAAGTGTGTTATTTTCTCCCTGATTTGTTTCTCAACTTAGTTTCAAGCTGTGTTCAAGATGCTTACCCTCATATAGTAAATATCGGTGGAATAATCGCATTTATCATAATATCACTTGTATGACAGCTGACCGTGGCCATTTTTAGGTTCAAATCATTCAGGGGAATCCAGACATGTATCAGGCTGCGTAAAAACGTTCTATGTCCCCTAATGCAATATAGACTCGCCCAGAGTGGACGCGATCACAAGCCGGCACCAGCAAGATTTGAAAGCCAATCGTTTAGTCAAACCCAAGCAGTTCAGTTTTAATAGTACTGTGGACGAATCAAGATAGTGGTGTTTGACCCTATGATAGTCCGAGTCAGCATTTTTTAAATTTCCGAAAACAAACCCACAAAATTTTGATCAAAATGTGCAGGAAATGGTAATTTATTCATCGGTATGTCCAATTGGTTTAACAAAACAGTTTTGGAAACATGTGAAAAATGCAGGTAAAATTATGGCAATCATGGGTTAAGCTTATTCTGAGGTCAAAAACAACCAGAAAAGTTTAGTTTAAATGATAGGAATTGTATAGGCAGGGGTTTCACAAATGCATTTACCGGTAATAGCAGGCCATTATCCTATAACAACAGGCCAAAAAAGATAAAAAGGTTCTAAGCAGTGCGAAGGGCTACAGCGAGACCGACGTAGGCGGTCAAGGGGCAGAAAGTAGACAGCCAATATGGGCTTGTAGCAGGCCATATGGCCGGCTCTTAACGAAACCCCTGATAACAATTTTGTCTGTCACAATTCTTATGAGTAAGCGCAGGGCAATTTAAAATATTTTCTGTATCATGCATCACAGATGGGACCTTCTTCTAGTTCCAAACTGAAGGTCTATTGCAAATACAGAATTTCAGCAACCGCCGCAACATGTATGGGAAATTGACAATTCATAATTATGTTCCCAAGATGGTTTTACAATTTTTAACAACACTTTCATACATGAAGATATTGTATAACTGCAATACAGTGCTTCAAAATATGGAAAGTGACCATATAAATTCTATAGATCTTTCAATATCCACAGTTCACTATTTACAGTTGACAATGAGGTAAAATCAAATTGTTCTCAGGTACTAATGTAAAATAATGTATTCTGTTTTCAAGAAATTTTACTCATTTTATGAAAACTCAAACATGCAAGTTGTTTTTTGTTACTTACTTGCATGGTATTGCAGCAGGAGAAGGTATTGCAGGTTCAATAATTTCTTCCGATATCTGTACACCTCTCTCAGCAACTAACTCTTCCAGTTTAACCAGAAGTTGTTCTTTAACAGCGTCTTCACTTGAAGACCTGACAACTGGAAGTACAATAGGTCTGATGAATTCATCTCCACTTTGTTCTTCACTCAATTCAGCGATAGTTGCCAATGGCTCACATGGTGGTCCTAGCTCAGTTTCTGATAGGCTGAAGTCTCCTTCATCAGTGCTACTTGTAGACTCAGGATCTGCAATAAATTATACATTTATGACTTAAGTTATGCAGAGTAACATTCACTTTGTTCAGAATGCATACCAAATTGGCTTTGTTACACAATTGTACCTCAAACAAAAAAATTGCAATTGTTGTTGAACTGGATCATAAAAAAAAATAATATTTGACCACAAAACTGCAGAAACACATTGTTATTCACCTAAGCTCATACAGAATTACTAGAGTACAGTATATGTACAGTATTATATCAAGATTTGTCTACTCTAGCATCATGTTTATTAGTGGGTGCAGTGAAACTAAATGAGTAACTGGTATTTCTAGAAAAAATTAACAAGAAGGAGCACACACGGGCGAATATTTTTGGAGTAATTTTAGTGTATTTGGTGTACAGACACATTGTCAGCTGGTGTTGCTGGGACGTTTTCACGGAGAAAAATATATTTGAGAAAGATGTTGTACTGAGTAAGAAACATATATCAGTTTCAAACAGAAATCCACCTCGGCAGTTCTGAAAGACACTTGTGGAATTACAGGATCCTAAATAATAACATACCTTCAATGTATAATACTGTTGAGCAATACACAGCACCACTTGCATTAGTAGCAGCACACGTGTATTCTCCTGCATCTTTGTAAATAGTTTTTGGAATCAAAAGTGTCCTTGTACTCCCAATAAGATGTAACTGATAATGACTGTCAAGTCGTAATGGATTACCATTTTTAAACCACACAACTGATGGTCGAGGAGAACCTGAAAAATATACATATTTGGTACGTCACATTTTCATCTAAAGAAACAAAACATAATATGAAGAATTACGACCAAACCAATTCTTTTTATATCGAGTTGTCAATATTTACATGTGAGAGAAAAAAGTATAGCAGGCACCTGATTCAATATTTATGACTTTAAACATAAATAAATGGATATTTTTTACACATACACCACATATTATATACATCTGTGTGTGTAAACAATTTGTTTTTCTATTTATTCTCACTTACAGTTAAAATTATTGATTCAAGTGTCTGACAATAAACCAAACACAGTTTGAAACTTGTTTTACCTTTGACAGTGCAGCTAATTCTAGCTGTTTTCCCAACAATTACACGACTTTCTTTCTTGGGTTTTTCGGTAAATTCTGGTGGTACCTGCTCAGGTACAAGGCGGCCAGGAGTTTCACTGTAGACGAAAACATGCCGAAGACGGGTTAGTTGGTTTTTGAAATTTACCTGGAAGTCAGTATTCCACAACGATCGATCGACCAGTTTTAGCTACAGTTGTAGCATTTCAAAGATTAGACTCCAACACTGACACATATAAGCTTGAGTTATAAACAAACCGAAATGACAATAATGTAATTTTAAAAATGAACGGCAGGAATGTGATTCAAGTTGTTGATCGGCAAAGATCTACGGATATCCATCACACTTTCAAATATGGCCGCCACATTGGCAATGTTGTCTTCGATCCATCAACCAAACTTATCCCACCGAAATAAATTTCTCAAGTTGCTGAACGACCAGTATTGACATTCATTAAAATAAATTAAAAACATACTACAACAATTAAATATTATATAATATAACAATCCTCTGACAAAAAAGAATATGCAATATCTTGGCATACTCTTTACAAACTTCTATTTTGACACAGGGTAGAAGACAGTAGATTGAACAGCCACTAAGACTCTTTAACTCGGAAGAAAAACAACATCAATACTAATTATTAAGTTTAGTAGGAAATTTTTAATCTTATATTTTGATTTCTTAAATAAAGACTGTTGAAACACTAAAATAATTCAGATGGTTACAAAAATAATGAGATCATTCTGAATAGAAACATCGGTTCCCATGAAGCAAAGTCACAAGCCTTGTTTTGAACTTTTTCAGATGCTCATTTGTTTTGTTTCAAAATGAAGTCGCTCAGCTGATTGAGTTGTTTCCAGGGTACACAAAGAAAAAGAAAAGTGACAATTTCTCGATGTAAAGAAAGATGGGAATGAACTAATATGCATATGTATAAAGCAGGTAAAGTACTTCAGCAGAAACTGATATAGTTTGGTTGGATGCTGAACAATTAACATTTACCGGTACTGAAAATCCGGACGACAAATGCAAACAGGCAAGCCCACAGGTAAGTTTTTATTATAGTCTGCTAAACTTTTTTTCATAAATTGTTAAAAAAACACACAACACAAATGAAGATGAAAACGAAGAGATGAGAACTTCTTGGGGACGGGGAAAAAGTGTTTAATGAAAATATTTCGCTTCTGAAAAAGAAAACAGAAAATATCTTGCAAGACTATAGTAAACAAAATGGGTTAGCCATGAAAATTAATTAAGTCTTTACAAATCTGCATGTTTCCAATGCATTGCTAATAATTTGCTGTGCATGTTTTAAGCACTCAAGGAAAATTCTACAAAGCTGTTCTCCTATATTTTTTCTGGCCTTCTGCTCTGGTAAAAGTGGAAAATACTACATGTTGTTTTGCTTAGCAAATTACAACTTCTTTAGCCATTTGGCAAATAAAACAACATTTGTAACATCACACTATATTTTTGTTTCATTCAGTAAAAATACATGTTGACATCTCTGTTAGTATACTATTTTATTGAACCAAAAGTTCACTTCAGTACAGAATAAAACCACATTATAAAGTCAATGAAATTCTATAAAAAATATGAATTTACCTGGTTTCTGTATCTCTTTCTTTTGTTGATGTTTCCTTTGATCCTAAATAAAATATTTATGAAATAAACACTCTGTATTCATATAGACTTAGATGTAAAGTATTACACAGGTACTCATACTGTTTGTTGGGGCACAAAATTATACCACACTCAAGTTATCACAAGAAAAATTATTTGATATCACATTATTCAATGACATAGCAAATAACCTAGAACTGACAGATATTTATGAAGTACATGTAACTTCATTATGAAGTGGGGCAAATACAAAGGATTGCACAGATAATTAGTTTGTATTGCTAACCATGTGCTAGTGTGTAATGGAGCAGAATACATTCCAATACAGAGGTGCAACTTTGTGAATTAAAGCAGGTACTAGTGGATTTCATAAGAACTATTCAACATTTCATTCAGAAGACATTGACAAATTTATTTACAGAGTTTTAGATTTAGTATAAAAAATATGCGTTCCTCCACTGTGTACATCTCATAGTGTGCTTAATGTGTCTTAATGTGGTCTACCCAAATTAAATACCCAAACAAATTTATACGATGACTTTGTGACTCATAAAAATATGATTGTTATTGAAAACTATGTGCTTGCTTAGAAAGCATAAAACACCTGGCATTTTTCATCAAAGTTTGATACATGATGATCATGCTAGCTCCAATCTTTCTATCTAATTATCATAAAACAATTAAGCAAGTTATAAAAATGAATGTCTTTACTGCATATCTTAATGTCTGTATGTCCAGTCTGATTTGTATATACTTGAAATACCAGCATGAATGTGAGTACAAAGTATGAGACAGTTTGAACACTGCACTGATCAATTTTCTGCATGCAAGAATCAATTTCCTGCTGCTGTTCTGCAGAAATATAGTTGCCATTCCGCTTTGTTATAGTGTCCTGTATGGTATTTGTTATTATACACAGGGACACAGATTGGAGAAATTTGCTAGCGGTGTGTTGGACCAGTCTATATTCTGGACTGGTAATTAACAGAATCTTTTGTATACTTGTGTACCAGGCAATCATATTCTAGTTATCTTTCACCAAACAATCAATATGTGCTTATCAAGTTTCAGACCAATAATCGATAAACAAATTATTAGAACATAATTGCAAGATACTAGTAAACAACAAACTGGGTTGACCAGTTCCTGGCTAATTTTTTTTGACATGTTATTTACAGTATTCAGCTTCATACTTATGAATGATAACATACACTATGACCAAATTACCCCCCCTTTCTTGCTGCCAGCATCAGCGACAAAAGACTGGAATCAAGTCTACTGTATGCATGATCATTCTGATATTATGCGTCATGTCAATTGAAATATGCCAGACATGAAGAAGAGAGAACTCATGCTGTTGTTGCTCAGTATTGTTCCATCAACAGTTGAAAATGATATTAAAATTTACAATGTGTATTGATAGAAACAAATAGTTGAAGCAGCATAGTAAAAATATACTAAATGATTCCACGCTACTGAAAATTAACGACAATAAAATCTAGTGTAAATCCCTCTTTCCCATTTGTTGCATATAGTTTATATCATATAAGTATATATTATGGATGTCATACAAAATTGTGGTTTTGTGTGAAAATCAATTTAGCAACAAAGTTAGCAACCTACCTTGCACAGTCAGCATACAGGAGCATGACGATCTACCAGCAGTGTTACTAGCAAAACAGGAATACTCTCCAGCATGTGTTTTATTGGCCGATACCACTATCAAAGAACACACACCCTCATCTGTTGTTTCCATAATATAATTGTCACCTTCATGGATTCCGATACCATTGTGAAACCAAATAATTTCTGGTTCTGGGTTTGCTGCAACTTGACAATCAAAGCGAGCGGCATTCTTTTCTATCACTGTTACATTGTTTAGCGGTAACACGAAAGTTGGCGGGATGTAGCTGGCTCTATTTTCAGTATTGGAACCTGTAATAAATAATATTAATACTTTATTATGCCATAATGATATAAAAAAGTCAATTTAGTCTGAGTTATAATGAATTTAAAGAATAAAAAAGGAAAAACAAGATAATCAAAAAGAAAATGTTACTGAGACTGCGACATCAAATTAAAAACAGCGAGCAAAAAATGTACTTTATACACATTGTATATGTTGCATGGGACCCATATCAAACACATAGCCTGCTGACACCATTGTATACCAGTCCTTTATGCTATCCATGAAGGCATTCAGCAGGCGGTGTGTTTAAATTGAATAATATTAGACGGCAAACACAACTAATGCTTACCTTGTTGCATACTATAACACCAGTTAACAAAACATGGCCTTGTATTGATGTCTGAACCATTAGTTCACCATGCAATAAGGATACATTGTTGTGTATATCTAAACAATGTTTTACTAAGCTTTATTGTGTTTGCAAGGAAATATGAGAATGTCTTGAATGGTATGAGTGGACTGTAAGAATATCATAAATAACTGTGGTAAATATTATCAAAGTAATTGATATCAGGACTTCTGTAAAATACAGCCATTTGATACTAAAATTCTCCATGCTATTAGAAACACTTGATGGCACAATAGCTAAGGGTCTTGATAAACGTTGAATAAATAAAAATATTTATAGATTACAAATGGCTGTTGAAATACAGATATTGTAAAATGAAATGAATATTCATGAGTTAGTTCAGCATTATCCAATCAGCAACAGTCACTAAAATGATGTGTCATTTGGTGATTGTCAGTGTTGAGCTTTTGAGTCTATCACAGCTGTGAAATTTGAATTTTACTGGGAACTAGGCAATTGTATTTGTCATTGAGTTGATAAATTTGGCTGAGTGACATACATGTGATGAACTTTCACATAGTTTGGAAGCCTTCTGATAATTTAGAAATTAAATGATGGGCTAATTTTTAATTTTAATTGCCTGCTAAAACTTTAAAAAACAAAGTAAAAATTATTTACACCACAGAGGGCACTCACAATTCACTTGACCTTTAACCATATTATGGAAGGTAACCACTAAGGCACATCTTGAATTTTCAAGGTGAATGTTCCGGCGCATCGTCCGCCTGCACGGTGTTGTTTCGTTCGGATATTCCTCCCTCTACAACACCGTGCGGTAATTCTATTCATAACCGTGTATGTCACGTGGTTGCGCGATAGAAAGTTTACCGACCAATAGAAAGCTTTG